CAAAACTGTAGCACCAGTATCAAGTCCCCCAGCTCATGTTAAGCGATGAATTGATGCACAACTCTTCGGCCAGGACTCTGCAACCCCGCGCCTCTCCCTGCACACTAAAACTACACACAAAGAGACAAAGTATGAGCCACAAACCCCGAGCCCCAAACCCGAAAATACCAAACATCTAACTCAGCCCTCAGCCCTCAACAAAGGGGTTGGGGTGTGTGTCATAGTAGGAACACCCAAGCTCAGATCCTGAGCCCCGGACGTCTGCAAGTTGGGAGCGAGTTGGGCCAAGGTCATCTGCTCGAGAAGCCTCTTCAGGGTCAGGCTTTATGGGCCTTAGGACTTTTTGGGTTTAGGCTGTGGCCAGTGGGGATGTGTTTCGGGCTAGCCCAGAACCCTCAGGTTCATTGTTCACGCTTTCAGGCTGTAGAGGTTGAAGTTAAGGGTTTGGGGCTCAAAAGCCACGAGCCCCGAATTGATGTTTCGGGAATTAAGTTATGGGGGCCCTCAACCCGCAAGCTCCGATTTAGGAGTGGAGTGAGGAGTTGAGGACTTCGGGTATATGCGGGGTCGGAGGTTGTCTCTGGAGGGCTGTAAAGATAGCTGCAACAAGGACTGAGTAATCACGTCTGCTCGAACTGCTCCAAAGACTGACGGCGACGACTAGACTGAGCACAATGCAACTTCAACCGCGCTTGTCGCACCCACTGACATGAGCCTGTCCACAGGGTTAGGGTGGGCATGTGTTGCGCCTGCACCCATGTGTTAGTCAAACCCTATATTAAAACAAGGGCCCCGTGGTTTAAACTGCAACAAAACAACGGGGATCCTAGAAAGTGGTGCCTTGAGACGGCGTCGCGCCCAGACCACACTCAAAACGCGCACGTAACACGGATAAATCTCCGTGAGATAATTAAAACCTGCCTCTACCAAGAGGCCTGTACACTAGCAGCGGCAGGTCCTTCCTTCTGCCTTGCCGAAATCGTAGTAATGATTACGCGCAAATGCAATGTTGTCTGGCCCAAACGCATTGCGAAGGTCTTCGTATCGGTTCAAGTAACACTGCCACTGGCACTCCGTGCCTGGTGCACACTGGCAGCTGCGGCCTTCTTTTTCACCGTACTCGGACCAATGCTGGGCTGCTTGCTCAAAGCCTGTTTTGCCAAACGCCTTCTGCAAATCGGCGTAACGGTCGAGGTAGCACTCCCAATTGCAGACGCCGTCGCAAGTCACAGTTCTTTTTTCGTCCTTGCCGAACTCGAACCAATGCCTCCTTGCCTCTGCAATATTTGTGGCTCCAAGGGCATTCGTCAAGTCTGGATACCTGCTGAGGTAGCACTGCCATGGGGCTCCCTGATCATCGATCGTGAACTTTGGCATTTTGTTGTATGCCAAGCAGACACGGTACTGGTTTGGCAAGTCCGTGCACAACCCTGCCAAGGGGCAGTGCTTGCACTGAGTCTCTGTCAGCAGTGCCGCTTTCACGCTTTTGCCATCTGGCAATGTCCCTTCCTTGTGGTCTTCTATCAGCTGCAAAGCAAGGTCTGCGCCGAATTCGATTCCAATGTCTTTTGCCATGTCCAGAACCATCGGGACGCAAGCGGGGGGAGCTGCTGCGCACACGACAGCTGTGGCACCGAGTTCCAGAGCACTGACCTTTTTGCTGCATACCGTCGTGTACCAGCCCCTCCTGAAGTCGCGCTCCATAGAGTCGTCGCAACCTGCCGAAGCCAGCAGTGGGAGCATCACTAACAGCACGACCTTGCTGAGTGACAGCTTCAGGTGCAACTTGGAACTTACCACGAGAGCAAACAAAAGCAAAATTAATTCGCCAAGAGGCTGAAGGAAGCTGCATCTTCGTCGAGCGAGAACCCGTCGCGTAAGGCCCCAATTATAACTCGAGCCAAAAATGCTGTGGAGCAACTTAAACTCTCACAGAAATATACATGATATAGAAATAGCAACCCAACAGCTCGGCGTGTGACCCGACAACCACCACCAGTACCGTCCTGTCACTGTTGCTAGTATCCTGTAACCTTGACTTAACTGTTAACCCGGCGCGATCCTCGTAAATGTTCTGCTGCGTTCTGTATCACTCCCGCCAGCTGCTGTGACTCTGTACCCCCGGCCCGAAACCTCAAGATCCTGTCCGAAACTCCATAACACCGTTCCTTCACGGTTCGTAAACGACGAGGGCCATTTGTGCTTGGAACTCGGGCGACTCACTCAACCCGGCAAACCGTAAATCCGTGCTGCAGGCCCGAGAGCAAAATCCATTCACGAGCAAGGTCCCCGGCGCACGTGGCGATTGCGCAGCTGACGGCAGGCACGGTCAGCCTCAGTTTTGAGTGTGTAGTACCGTATACTTAAAGGATCATGGGACTTAGTAAGTAGGGTTATAAGTAAAGTAACTACAGTTATAACTACTTATAACCCCAATTAGGGTACTTATAACCCTACTTACTAAGTCCCATGATCCCCCAAGTAGGATTGCTTGGGCACCTCCAGAGCTCAAAGCTTCTTCAAAAGGATCGCAGAGTATGAGGTCGACGCGAATACCCTCTGCCCTGGGCATCAGAACAAAGCCCAGGCCAGGAACGCTTCCGAAATCAAGTATGAGGAAAGCCACGGTGCCCAAAACAACCCTGTTCCATAGCTTCGAGAAAGCATGGCTCAAGGACTCCTCCCTAAACCCTATAAACCCTGAACAAAACAGCCCTAAGCCACTACACCCAGGGGCTCGAAGGGCTGAAAATCCCCAAATAATAGAACCGCAACACACAGCAGGTCCAAAAGACGACATGTCTCCACTCACAAACCAATCTTCTGGAATACTCCTGAAGTAGAATCCTTATGTTTCGTGGGCCTCTACAAAGCCCTCAAACCCTCGACGTGCCGAAAGTGTTCTATCTCCGAAGCCTAAAACCTGAAACCCTGCAGCACCAAAACTCAACACCAACACCCTAAACGCTACCTGAACCCCGAAGAACCTACATTTTTAAGGACTTACATTTAAAAAAATCATAATAGGGAACCCTAAATTAAGGTGGGTTAAGGTACACTTAAAGACCTTCGTCTATAGACTGTAAAAACCCTACATCCCTGAGCAGCCCAAGCCTGCATCTTCCAATGCATCTGCCGCAGGCCGACAGCACTTTAGGATTTCGGGGTTTAGGGTTTAGGGGTTTAGGGGTTTAGGGTTTAGAGGGTTTAGGGCTTAGGGTTTAGAGGGTTTAGGGTCTACCCTAAGGCCCCAAAGTAGTTCCTTTTGGGGGCTCGTATAAAGAATCCTATTAGGCAATCCCCAGAAGGAACTACTTTGGGGCCTATGGGTAGGGGTTTAGGATTTAGGGTTTTGAGCTTCGGAATGCGTTTGACGCTTTGCAGCTTCTGCGTGTGCTGTGTAGCGTCCGGGCCGGGAGTCCGGGGTGGTGTTGAGAAGGCCTTCTACGACTAGGCCCACATCAGTACCCAGAGTATAAGCAAAGCCTCTAGACTTTGAAAAACGCTCGATGGGGTCCAAGCAATGGGCCCAGTCCTCTTCAAATCACTCCAAGAAGGTAACCAAACCGATCTATCTGCTTATGTGGCACCTCGATGTAAACAGTGAACCCTAAACCATCTGGGGGCTAGGGTCTCTCCAGGGTTTTATTTTGGGGAAGGATGGTTTAGGATTCGGCGGGGGTAGCGATTGTTGGTGCTTGCCTTGATTCGCATGGTGCCCTTCTCCCCTTATTCATCTCCGAGCTGTCCGCGCTGCAAACAAGGCCCGGACAAAAGGAACTGAAAACAGATGAAAACAGTCGCCAGGCCGGTCCGCACACACCAGCCTGGCGGTGGCGCAGCTAGCAACATGTGAAGTGTGCGGTGCTTGTCGGGACGCGGCTCATCCCTGTACCCCACCCCATGCAACCAACGGCTATGTGATGGTAATGTCAGCGGTGCGCGACTGACATAGGCACGCGAACTTCACGATAGCTCTGCAGGAGCAAGGGAACACATCTACTGTATCAGTTGGCTTCTAAATGGTTGCGGATCCGCTTACTGAGCAGCTAGAGTCTCTGAGTTGCAACCTAGTTGCTGAGGAAAAACATCGAGAAACCTCCGCAGGCACCCGGGACCCGAAATCAAGACCCCCAAGCCCCTCCAAAGCCGCGAAAGATCTCAGAAGCCCCAACATCAATAAAACAACTCTAACAAACCCAAAGAGTCCAATCCATCTCCCTGCCTTCGGAGAGAAAGTTGAAGGTCTCTCGCCTTGGCACCCCGCGAGGAGACCTGTGTCTGGACCGTTTTTTTTGGCCGGGGGGTCTGCTGGGTGTGCCTGGGCCTGGGGCTTCCGGCATGGTTTTTTGCTTCCGGGACACGAAGGCCGGGAGGCTGCAGAAGCAAACTCCCACGGCCAGGATCGAAATCACGCGCGCAGCCTTCGCCATAGCTTGTCGTCTGTCTCTGAATGCCTCTGATCTCGAGCCCAAAAGCCTAGAAGCCAACCCCTCGCCCGATGAGCCCCAGCAGCAAGGCTGAATGCAGACGCCATTCTCCCCTTACTCACGCTGCAAAGGGCCTGGACGAAGAAAACTGAAAACAGTCGCCGGGCCGGGCCGCCAGCAGCCCACACCAACCTGGCGATGGTGGCACAGCTTGCAGCTAGCAAAAACTGTAGCACCAGTATCAAGTCCCCCAGCTCGTGTTAAGTGGGTGGTGCTTACCGAAACAAGGCCCATCCCTGTACCCCACCCCACGCGAGCTGATGCCAGGGGTATGCGACTGACGATAGCTCTGCAGCTACTGTATCATCTGGTTCCTCTGTCGGAGCAGCGAGATTCTGTATTGAAACCTAGTTGCTGAGGAAAACCATCGAGAAACCTCCGCAGGCACCCGAAACTCAAGACCCTCGAGCGCCTTAAATTTCCAAAGATCTCAGAAGCCTCTCAACAGCCCCAACATCCATAAAACAACTTTAACAAACCGCTTAAGGAGTCCACCCCATCTCCCTGCCTTCAGAGAGGCTTGAAGGTCTCTTCGGACGCCGCGCCGTGAGGAGACCTGTGTGTGTGGACTGTTTTTTCTTTGGGGGGGGGGTCTGCTGGGTCTGTCTGGGTCTCTGGGGCTTCCGACATGTTTTTGTTGCTTCTGTGCGGCCTCTGCTACGCACTGAACGGGAGACTCTAGCCTTTCCGCTGCCACATTTAAAGATGTGGCGCACGCATCGCGGCTGACTGCCAGCCACAGGCAAGAGCTCGGTGGGCCCAGTGGGCCCTTAAGAAAATATGCAACTTATACAAAATCAAATCAGACTCAAGTCTTTAAATCGGATGGGCGCCGCTGCGCTCACTCCTGCACGACTCGATGTTCAAGAGGATCAAAAGAAGGCTCAGCGCTGGGACGCCTTGACCACATCCTTGAAGTCCATCAATGCCTGGTAAGCTGCCTTGGCATCCGCCGCATCTACCTTGGACATCATGTAAGGGCCCACATCCTTGCCAAGGTTGAACTTGTTGAAAGCATTGTACACGTCCATGGTCTGAGATGCAGGCACCGAAGCGATCATATGCCCGATGGCCGCATTAATGGCAGTATAATCGGCAAGAGTCGCAACACCCTTGGAGTCCATGTTGGCAATGGCCTGGCTGTGAGCCAGAGCACCCGATTTCAGAGCTGCGGAGTCCATGGACGCACCCATCTTCAACATGGTGTTGATGGCCTTGAGCACCTCCAGAGGAGGCTGGGTGGGAAGCTTGCCATAGACGTCGGAGGTCCAGTCGATTTCTTTCAAGAAGGGATAAGACTTCTCGGACAGCACCTTTGCTGCGTCGTCGATCTTGTCCGCGAAAGCCGGCGCTGCACCCAGCATGCTCAGTGCCCCTGCAGCTGCGGGCGCCATGCTGCGAGCTGGGCGAGCAGGCCCAGGCACGAAGGCCGGGAGGCTGCAGAAGCAAACTCCCACGGCCAGGATCGAAATCACGCGCGCAGCCTTCGCCATAGCTTGTCGTCTGTCTCTGAATGCCTCGATCTGATCTCGAGCCCAAAAGCCTAGAAGCCAACCCCTCGCCCGATGAGCCCCAGCAGCAAGGCTGAATGCAGACGCCATTCTCCCCTTACTCACGCTGCAAAGGGCCTGGACGAAGAAAACTGAAAACAGTCGCCGGGCCGGGCCGCCAGCAGCCCACACCAACCTGGCGATGGTGGCACAGCTTGCAGCTAGCAAAACTGTAGCACCAGTATCAAGTCCCCCAGCTCGTGTTAAGTGGGTGGTGCTTACCGAAACAAGGCCCATCCCTGTACCCCACCCCACGCGAGCTGATGCCAGGGGTATGCGACTGACGATAGCTCTGCAGCTATCAGAGCAGCGAGATTCTGTGTTGAAACCCAGTTGCTGAGGAAAACCATCGAGAAACCTCCGCAGGCACCCGAAACTCAAGACCCCCCAGCGCTTTAAAAACCAAAGATCTCAGAAGCCTCTCAACAGCCCAAACATCCATAAAACAACTTTAACAAACTGCTTAAGGAGTCCACTCCATCTCCCTGCCTTCAGAGAGGCTTGAAGGTCTTTCGCCTTCGGACGCCGCGCCGTGAGGAGACCTGCGTCTGGACTGCTTGTTTTTTTGGGGGGCAGTCCGGGTCTGTCTGGGTCTCTGGGGCTTCCGGCATGTTTTTGTTGCTTCTGTGCGGCCTCTGCTACGCACTGAACGGGAGACTCTAGCCTTTCCGCTGCCACATTTAAAGATGTGGCGCGCGCATCGCGGCTGATTGCCAGCCACAGGCAAGAGCTCGGTGGGCCCAGTGGGCCCTTAAGAAAATATGCAACTTATACAAAATCAAATCAGACTCAAGTCTTTAAATCGGATGGGCGCCGCTGCGCTCACTCCTGCACGACTCGATGCTCAAGAGGATCAAAAGAAGGCTCAGCGCTGGGACGCCTTGACCACATCCTTGAAGTCCATCAATGCCTGGTAAGCTGCCTTGGCATCCGCCGCATCTACCTTGGACATCATGTAAGGGCCCACATCCTTGCCAAGGTTGAACTTGTTGAAAGCATTGTACACGTCCATGGTCTGAGATGCAGGCACCGAAGCGATCATATGCCCGATGGCCGCATTAATGGCAGTATAATCGGCAAGAGTCGCAACACCCTTGGAGTCCATGTTGGCAATGGCCTGGCTGTGAGCCAGAGCACCCGATTTCAGAGCTGCGGAGTCCATGGACGCACCCATCTTCAACATGGTGTTGATCGCCTTGAGCACCTCCAGAGGAGGCTGGGTGGGAAGCTTGCCATAGACGTCGGAGGTCCAGTCGATTTCTTTCAAGAAGGGATAAGACTTCTCGGACAGCACCTTTGCTGCGTCGTCGATCTTGTCCGCGAAAGCAGGCGCTGCACCCAGCATGCTCAGTGCCCCTGCAGCTGCGGGCGCCATGCTGCGAGCTGGGCGAGCAGGCCCAGGCACGAAGGCCGGGAGGCTGCAGAAGCAAACTCCCACGGCCAGGATCGAAATCACGCGCGCAGCCTTCGCCATAGCTTGTCGTCTGTCTCTGAATGCCTCTGATCTCGAGCCCAAAAGCCTAGAAGCCAACCCCTCGCCCGATGAGCCCCAGCAGCAAGGCTGAATGCAGACGCCATTCTCCCCTTACTCACGCTGCAAAGGGCCTGGACGAAGAAAACTGAAAACAGTCGCCGGGCCGGGCCGCCAGCAGCCCACACCAACCTGGCGATGGTGGCACAGCTTGCAGCTAGCAAAACTGTAGCACCAGTATCAAGTCCCCCAGCTCGTGTTAAGTGGGTGGTGCTTACCGAAACAAGGCCCATCCCTGTACCCCACCCCACGCGAGCTGATGCCAGGGGTATGCGACTGACGATAGCTCTGCAGCTACTGTATCATCTGGTTCCTCTGTCGGAGCAGCGAGATTCTGTATTGAAACCTAGTTGCTGAGGAAAACCATCGAGAAACCTCCGCAGGCACCTGAAACTCAAGACCTCCGAGCGCCTGAAAAACCAAAGATCCCAGAAGCCTCTCAACAGCCCCAACATCCATAAAACAACTTTAACAAACTGCTTAAGGAGTCCACTCCATCTCCCTTCCTTCAGAGAGGCTTGAAGGTCTCTCGCCTTCGGACGCCGCGCCGTGAGGAGACCTGTGTGTGTGGACTGTTTTTTCTTTGGGGGGGGGTTCTGCTGGGTCTGTCTGGGTCTCTGGGGCTTCCGGCATGTTTTTGTTGCTTCTGTGCGGCCTCTGCTACGCACTGAACGGGAGACTCTAGCCTTTCCGCTGCCACATTTAAAGATGTGGCGCACGCATCGCGGCTGATTGCCAGCCACAGGCAAGAGCTCGGTGGGCCCAGTGGGCCCTTAAGAAAATATGCAACTTATACAAAATCGAAACAGACTCAAGTCTTTAAATCGGATGGGCGCCGCCGCGCTCACTCCTGTGCACGACTCGACACACTCCACGATCACTTCATCGTGGACTTCACCACATCCTTGAACTCGAGGAAGGCATTGTAAGCAGCCTGTGCGTCTGCCGGGTTCACAGTGCCGATGAGGTACGCCGGGATTCCCTTGCCCGAGGCCACGGCTGCGGCAACGACGCCTGCCCAAGCATTGTAGACGTCCAGCGTCTTGGCTTCTCCAGCCGAGGAGACCATGTGACCGATGGCTGCGTTGATAGCCTGGTAATCAGCTTTGGAGGTCAGGCCGTTGGCATCGATGCTGCCAATCGCCTTGGAGTGAGCCAGGACGCCCGCCTTCAAAGCAGATGGGTCCATAGCGGCGCCCATGTCAATGGTCTTGCTGATGGCCTTTGCCATCTGCAGGGGATCCGCTCCCGGGATGTTCTTCGCGTAGTCCGCGGTCCAGTCGATGTCCTTCAGGAAGGGGTAAGAGGCGTCTGACAGCTTCTTGGCCGCGTCGTCGATCTTGTCCGCGAAAGCAGGTGCTGCGCCCAGCATGCTCAGTGCTCCTGCAGCTGCGGGCGCCATGCTGCGAGCTGGGCGAGCAGGCCCCGGCACGAAGGCAGGGAGGCTGCAGAAGCAAACTCCCACGGCCAGGATGGAAATAACGCGCACAGCTTTCGCCATAGCGGCTTGCCGTCTGTGGTCAAGCTGCTTTGTGAATGCCTCTGATCTCGAGCCAAAAGCCTATAAAAGCCAACGCGGCCCATTGGATGAGCATCAAGGCTGAATGCAGGGGGCCCTTCTCCCCTCACTCATCTCCCAGCTGTGCGCACTGAAAATGGCCTGGACGAAAGGAACTGAAGACAGCCGACGGGCCGGGCCGACAGCAGCACACACCAACCTGGCGAGGGTGGCACAGCTAGCAGAAACCTGTCTGAAAACTTTGCTAAAGCAATTGGGCACTCTTTGGCCCAAAGGCCCCGAACCACTAGGCACACGCAACCTTAGCGATGAATTGATGCACAACTCTTCGGCCAGGACTCTGCAACCCCGCGCCTCTCCCTGCACACTAAAACTACACACGCCACAAACCCCGAGCCCCAAACCCGAAAATGCCAAAATCTAACTCCTTAACACAGGGTTGGGGGGGGTGCGTCATAGTAAGAACACCCAATTTCTCAGATCATGAGCCGCGGACGTGTGCAACTTGCGAGCCCGAGATGGGCCAAGGTCATCTGCTCGAGAAGCCGCTTCAGGGCCTTAGGACTTTAGGGGGTTTACCCTAAGGCCCCAAAGTAGTTCCTTTTGTTCGTAAAAAGAATCCTATTAGGTGATCCCCAAAAGGAACTACTTTGGGGCCTATGGGTAGGCGCTGGCCATTGGGGGTGTTTCGGGCTTTCGAAGCTCGTTGTGGTGTGCCAGGGCCGCATTGTCGTGCAAGCCTGTGTGCCATGAAGCCCTTAGCATTTGTTGTATCAGATTCGGCGGCGCTCTGCGGGTGTTTTGAGTTGAGGGTATTGGACAGGCTTAAGCCAGCTGTTTAGGTTCACCGTAGAAGAGCACTCTCCGAAACCGATTAAACTCAAGAAATGTGCCAAAGCTCTGTTGGTCGTTGCGAGCGATAATCTCCGGTCGACGGGGGTTGAATATTGGTTTTCTGGAATCTCCAAACTCTACCCCAAGGCCCCAAAGTAGTTCCTTTTGGGGCTCGCATAAAGAATCCTATTAGGGGAGGAACTACTTTGTGGCCTATGGGTAGAAACCAAACAGCAACAAACAACCCACAATAGCTACGCAGCTTCGAATGCAGGCCTCTGCCGTGCTCCTACAAACCTTACAGAGACACCGGCAAGCTGTAAGGCCCGAAAGTGCCAACCTCCGACCCCTCATATTCCCGAAGCCCTCAACTCCCAACTCCTAAATCGGAGCTTGAGGGTTGAGGGCCCCCATAACTTAATTCCCGAAGCATCAATTCGGGGCTCGTGGCTTTAGAGCCCCAATCACCCAAGCCCGTAACCTCAACTTCTAAAGCCTGAAAACAAAAGCAATGAGTTTGAGGAATCTGGCCTCCTGAAGTTTCGGGGCGAGAATTCCGAGCTTAGGGCTCGAAGTTCAGGGTTTCGGGCTCCAGGGGCTTGGGGCCGGTCGAGTGACTATGGAGCTAACATGGTGTCCTGAACACAGGAGCCCTATAAGCTCTAAGCCATGAGATCGCCTTTGGGGCACGACCTACGACCTACAGTACCTACAGTACGACGTCTCTTTCGAATCGGAATCCTGTATCCCCGGCCCGATACCTCGGATCCTTTCCGAAACTCCATAACACCGTACTTTACGGTTCGTAAACGACGAGGGCCAATTGTGCTTGGAACTCGGGCGACTCACTCAACCCGGCAAACCGTAAATCCGTGCTGCAGGCCCGAGAGCAAAATCCTTTCACGAGCAAGGTCCCCGGCGCACGTGGATATTGCGCAGCTGACGGCAGGCACGGTCAGCCTCAGCTTTGAGTGTGTAGTACCGTATACTTACAGGATCATGGGACTTAGTAAGTAGGGTTACTGCAGTTATAACTACTTATAACCCCAATTAGGGTACTTATCACCCTACTTACTAAGTCCCATGATCCCCCAAGTAGGATTGCTTGGGCACCTCCAGAGCTCAAAGCTTCAAAAGGATCGCAGAGTATGAGGTCGACGCGAATACCCTCTGCCCTGGGCATCAGAACAAAGCCCAGGCCAGGAACGCTTCCGAAATCAAGTATGAGGAAAGCCACGGTGCCAAAAACAACCCTGTTCCATAGCTTCGAGAAAGCATGGCTCAAAGACTCCTCCCTAAACCCTATAAACCCTGAACAAGACAGCCCTAAGGCACTACACCCAGGGGCTCGAAGGGCATGAACATCCCCAAATAATAGAACCGCAACACACAGATGCAGGTCCAAAAGACGACATGACTCCACTCACAAACCAGTCTTCTGGAATACTCCTGAGGTAGAATCCTTATGTTTCGTGGGCCTCTACAAAGCCCTCAAACCCTCGACGCGCCGAAAGTGTTCTATCTCCGAAGCCTAAAGCCTGAAACCCCGCGGCACCAAAACTCAACACCAACAAGCTAAACCGCCACCTGAACCCCGAAGAACCTACATTTTTAAGGACTTACATTTAACAAAACATTAGGATTTCGGGGTTTAGGGTTTAGGGGTTTAGGGTTTAGAGGGTTTAGGGCTGTTTAGAGGGTTTAGGGTCTACCCTAAGGCCCCAAAGTAGTTCCTTTTGGGGGCTCGTATAAAGAATCCTATTAGGCAATCCCCAGAAGGAACTACTTTGGGGCCTATGGGTAGGGGTTTAGGATTTAGGGTTTTGAGCTTCGGAATGCGTTTGACGCTTTGCAGCTGCTGCGTGTGCTGTGTAGCGTCCGGGCCGGGAGTCCGGGGTGGTGTTGAGAAGGCCTTCTACGACTAGGCCCACATCAGTACCCAGAGTATAAGCAAAGCCTCTAGACTTTGAAAAACCCTCGATGGGGTCCAAGCAATGGGCCCAGTCCTCTTCAAATCACTCCAAGAAGGTAACCAAACCGATCTATCTGCTTATGTGGCACCTCGATGTAAACCGTGAACCCTAAACTGTCTAGGGGCTAGGGTCTCTACAGGGTTTTTGGGAATGATGGTGTAGGCTTCGGCGGGGGTAGCGATTGTCGGTGCTTGCCTTGATTCGCATGGTGCCCTTCTCCCCTTATTCATCTCCGAGCTGTCCGCGCTGCAAACAAGGCCCGGACAAAAGGAACTGAAAACAGACGAAAACAGTCGCCAGGCCGGTCCGCACACACCAGCCTGGCGGTGGCGCAGCTAGCAACAAGTGAAGTGGGCGGTGCTTATCGAAACAAGGCCCATCCCTGTACCCCACCCCATGCAACCAACGGGTATGTGATGGTAATGTCAGGGGTACGCGACTGACATAGGCAGGCGACCTTCACGATAGCTCTGCAGGAACTAAGGGAACACATCTACTGTATCAGTTGGCTTGTCTAAATGGTTGCGGATCCGCTTACTGAGCCGCTAGAGTCTCTGAGTTGAAACCTAGTCCGCAGGCACCCGGGACCCGAAATCAAAACCCCCAAGCCCCTCCGAAGCCGCGAAAGATCTCAGAAGCCCCAACATCCATAAAACAACTCTAACAAACCCAAGGAGTCCAATCCATCTCCCTGCCTTCGGAGAGAAAGTTGAAGGTCTCTCGCCTTGGGACGCCGCGAGGAGACCTGTATCTGGACTGTTTTTCTTGGCCGGGGGGTCTGCTGGGTGTGCCTGGGCCTGGGGCTTCCGGCATGGTTTTTTGCTTCCGGGATGTCGCGCACGCATCGCCGCTGACTGCCAGCCACGGGCAAGAGCTCGGTGGGCCCAGTGGGCCCTTAAGAAAATATGCAACTTATACAAAACCAAATCAGACTCTTGAAAGTCTTTAAATCGGATGGGCGCCGCCGCGCTCACCCCTGCACGACTCGATGCTCAAGAGGATCAAAAGAAGGCTCAGCGCTGGGACGCCTTGACCACATCCTTGAAGTCCATCAATGCCTGGTAAGCCGCCTTGGCATCCGCCGCATCTACCTTGGACATCATATAAGGGCCCACATCCTTGCCGAGGTTGAACTTGTTGAAAGCATTGTACACGTCCATGGTCTGCGATGCTGGCACCGAAGCGATCATATGCCCGATGGCCGCATTGATGGCAGTATAATCGGCAAGAGTCGCGACACCCTTGGAGTCCATGTTGGCAATGGCCTGGCTGTGAGCCAGAGCACCCGATTTCAGAGCTGCGGGGTCCATGGATGCACCCATCTTCAACATGGTGTTGATCGCCTTGAGCACCTCCAGAGGAGGCTGGGTGGGAAGCTTGCCATAGACGTCGGAGGTCCAGTCGATTTCTTTCAAGAAGGGATAAGACTTCTCGGACAGCACCTTTGCTGCGTCGTCGATCTTGTCAGCGAAAGCAGGTGCTGCGCCCAGCATGCTCAGTGCCCCTGCAGCTGCGGGCGCCATGTTGCGAGCTGGGCGAGCAGGCCCCGGCACGAAGGCCGGGAGGCTGCAGAAGCAAACTCCCACGGCCAGGATCGAAATCACGCGCGCAGCCTTCGCCATTGCTTGCCGTCTGTGGTCCCTGAACCTGCTCTCTGAATGCCCCTGATCTCGAGCCGAAAAGCCTAAAAGCCGATGCGTCCCATGGGCCTCAGCAGCAACTCTGGATGCAGGCGCCGTTCTCCCCTTACTCATCTCCCAGCTGTCCGCACTGAAAAGGGCCCAGACGAAAGGAACTGAAGACAGTCGCCGGGCCGGGCCGCCAGAAGACCCACACCAACCTGGCGATTGTGGCACAGCTAGCAAAACTGTAGCATCAGTATTAAGTCCCCCAGCTCATGATAAGTGGGTGGTGCTTACCGAAACAACAAGGCCCATCCCTGTACCCCACACCACGCAACCAGCGTTTTGGGGGGTCATCGTCCAATGGGTATGCGATGCTGATTCCAGGGGTATGTGACTGACATAGGCAGGCGATATTCACGATAGCTCTGCAGGAGCAAGGGAACACATCTACGGTACCATCTGGCTCCTAAGTGGCTGCGGATCCTCTAGCGGAGCAGCAAGATTCTCTGAGTTGAAACCTGCATAGTCTTAGTTTCTGAGGAAAATATCGCAAGCACCCGAAACTCAAGACCGCCAAAGCCCCTCAAAAGCCGCAAAAGATCTCGAAAGCCTCTCAGCATTTCCAACATCCATAAAACAACTCTTAGAAACCGCTATAAGAAGTCCACTCCATCTCCCTGCCTTCAGAGAGAGAGTTGAAGGTCTCTCGCCTTGGGACGCCGCGCCGTGAGGAGACCTGTGTCTGGACTGCTTTTTTTGGGCGCGGGGTCTGCTGGGTCTGTCTGAGTCTCTGGCGCTTCCGGCATGTTTTTGTTTGCTTCTGTGCGGCCTCTGCTACGCACTGAACGGGAGACTCTAGCCTTTCCGCTGCCACATTTAAAGATGTGGCGCACGCATCGCGGCTGATTGCCAGCCACAGGCAAGAGCTCGGTGGGCCCAGTGGGCCCTTAAGAAAATATGCAACTTATACAAAATCAAATCAGACTCAAGTCTTTAAATCGGATGGACGCCGCTGCGCTCACTCCTGCACGACTCGATGTTCAAGAGGATCAAAAGAAGGCTCAGCGCTGGGACGCCTTGACCACATCCTTGAAGTCCATCAATGCCTGGTAAGCTGCCTTGGCATCCGCCGCATCTACCTTGGACATCATGTAAGGGCCCACATCCTTGCCAAGGTTGAACTTGTTGAAGGCATTGTACACGTCCATGGTCTGGGATGCAGGCACCGAAGCGATCATATGCCCGATGGCCGCATTAATGGCAGTATAATCGGCAAGAGTCGCGACACCCTTGGAGTCCATGCCGGCAATGGCCTTGCTGTGAGCCAGAACACCCGATTTCAGAGCTGCGGAGTCCATGGACGCACCCATCTTCAACATCGTGTTGATCGCCTTGAGCACCTGGAGAGGAGGCTGGGTGGGGAGCTTGCCATAGACGTCGGAGGTCCAGTCGATTTCTTTCAAGAAGGGATAAGACTTCTCGGACAGCACCTTTGCTGCGTCGTCGATCTTGTCTGCGAAAGCAGGCGCTGCACCCAGCATGCTCAGTGCCCCTGCAGCTGCGGGCGCCATGCTGCGAGCTGGGCGAGCAGGCCCAGGCACGAAGGCCGGGAGGCTGCAGAAGCAAACTCCCACGGCCAGGATCGAAATCACGCGCGCAGCCTTCGCCATAGCTTGTCGTCTGTCTCTGAATGCCTCTGATCTCTAGCCCAAAAGCCTAAAAGCCAACCCCTCGCCCGATGAGCCTCATCAGCAAGGCTGAGTGCAGACGCCATTCTACCCTTACGCACGCTGCAAAGGGCCTGGACGAAGAAAACTGAAAACAGTCGCCGGGCCGGGCCGCCAGCAGCCCACACCAGCCTGGCGATGGTGGCACAGCTTGCAGCTAGCAAAACTGTAGCACCAGTATCAAGTCCCCCAGCTCGTGTTAAGTGGGTGGTGCTTACCGAAACAAGGCCCATCCCTGTACCCCACCCCACGCGAGCTGATGCCAGGGGTATGCGACTGACGATAGCTCTGCAGCTACTGTATCATCTGGTTCCTCTGTCGGAGCAGCGAGATTCTGTATCGAAACCTAGTTGCTGAGGAAAACCATCGAGAAACCTCCGCAGGCACCCGAAACTCAAGACCTCCGAGCGCCTGAAAAACCAAAGATCCCAGAAGCCTCTCAACAGCCCCAACATCCATAAAACAACTTTAACAAACTGCTTAAGGAGTCCACTCCATCTCCCTGCCTTCAGAGAGGCTTGAAGGTCTCTCGCCTTCGGACGCCGCGCCGTGAGGAGACCTGTGTGTGTGGACTGTTTTTTCTTTGGGGGGGGGGTCTGCTGGGTCTGTCTGGGTCTCTGGGGCTTCCGGCATGTTTTTGTTGCTTCTGTGCGGCCTCTGCTACGCACTGAACGGGAGACTCTAGCCTTTCCGCTGCCACATTTAAAGATGTGGCGCACGCATCGCGGCTGACTGCCAGCCACAGGCAAGAGCTCGGTGGGCCCAGTGGGCCCTTAAGAAAATATGCAACTTATACAAAATCAAATCAGACTCTTGAAAGTCTTTAAATCGGATGGGCGCCGCTGCGCTCACTCCTGCACGACTCGCTGCTCAAGAGGATCAAAAGAAGGCTCAGCGCTGGGACGCCTTGACCACATCCTTGAAGTCCATCAATGCCTGGTAAGCTGCCTTGGCATCCGCCGCATCTACCTTGGACATCATGTAAGGGCCCACATCCTTGCCAAGGTTGAACTTGTTGAAGGCATTGTACACGTCCATGGTCTGGGATGCAGGCACCGAAGCGATCATATGCCCGATGGCCGCATTGATGGCAGTATAATCGGCAAGAGTCGCGACACCCTTGGAGTCCATGTTGGCAATGGCCTGGCTGTGAGCCAGAGCACCCGATTTCAGAGCCGCGGAGTCCATGGACGCACCCATCTTCAACATCGTGTTGATGGCCTTGAGCACCTCCAGAGGAGGCTGGGTCGGGAGCTTGCCATAGACGTCGGAGGTCCAGTCGATTTCTTTCAGGAAGGGATAAGACTTCTCGGACAGCACCTTTGCTGCGTCGTCGATCTTGTCCGCGAAAGCCGGCGCTGCACCCAGCATGCTCAGTGCCCCTGCAGCTGCGGGCGCCATGCTGCGAGCTGGGCGAGCAGGCCCAGGCACGAAGGCCGGGAGGCTGCAGAAGCAAACTCCCACGGCCAGGATCGAAATCACGCGCGCAGCCTTCGCCATAGCTTGTCGTCTGTCTCTGAATGCCTCTGATCTCGAGCCCAAAAGCCTAAAAGCCAACCCCTCGCCCCAAGGGCCTCAGCAGCAAGGCTGAATGCAGACGCCATTCTCCCCTTACTCACGCTGCAAAGGGCCTGGACGAAGAAAACTGAAAACAGTCGCCGGGCCGGACCGCCAGCAGCCCACACCAACCTGGCGATGGTGGCACAGCTTGCAGCTAGCAAGAACTGTAGCACCAGTATCAAGTCCCCCAGCTCATGTTGAGTGGGTGGTGCTTACCGAAACAAGGCCCATCCCTGTACCCCACCCCACGCGAGCTGATGCCAGGGGTGTGCGACTGACGATAGCTCCGCAGCTACTGTATCATCTGGTTCCTCTGTCGGAGCAGCGAGATTCTGTATCGAAACCTAGTTGCTGAGGAAAACCATCGAGAAACCTCCGCAGGCACCCGAAACTCAAGACCTCCGAGCGCCTGAAAAACCAAAGATCCCAGAAGCCTCTCAACAGCCCCAACATCCATAAAACAACTTTAACAAACTGCTTAAGGAGTCCACTCCATCTCCCTGCCTTCAGAGAGGCTTGAAGGTCTCTCGCCTTCGGACGCCACGCCGTGAGGAGACCTGTGTGTGTGGACTGTTTTTTCTTTGGGGGGGGGTCCTGCTGGGTCTGTCTGGGTCTCTGGGGCTTCCGGCATGTTTTTGTTGCTTCTGTGCGGCCTCTGCTACGCACTGAGCGGGAGACTCTATAGCCTTTCCGCTGCCACATTTATAAAGATGTGGCGCACGCATCGCCGCTGACTGCCAGCCACGGGCAAGAGCTCGGTGGGCCCAGTGGGCCCTTAAGAAAATATGCAACTTACACAAAACCAAATCAGACTCTTGAAAGTCTTTAAATCGGATGGGCGCCGCCGCGCTCACCCCTGCACGACTCGATGCTCAAGAGGATCAAAAGAAGGCTCAGCGCTGGGACGCCTTGACCACATCCTTGAAGTCCATCAATGCCTGGTAAGCTGCCTTGGCATCCGCCGCATCTACCTTGGACATCATGTAAGGGCCCACATCCTTGCCGAGGTTGAACTTGTTGAAAGCATTGTACACGTCCATGGTCTGCGATGCTGGCACCGAAGCGATCATATGCCCGATGGCCGCATTGATGGCAGTATCGATGAAGGTTTAACGTCTTCAAAGCACCTGGCACCGAGGCACCAACGGCACTTCTGGACGAAGAGGGCCCGAAGGCCTCACCAAAACAGAAAGCTTGCCTGAGGGCCAGCTGCACCAGGTTGACAGGTAGTTGCGGTCTGTCAAATACCCCTCATGAGCCAAAAGCGCTCCGACTCGATGAAGGTTTAACGTCTTCAATGCACCTGGCACCGAGGCACCAACGACACTTCTGGACGAAGAGGGCCCGAAGGCCTCACCAAAACAGAAAGCTTGCCAGAGGGCCAGCTGTACCAGGTTGACAGGTAGTTGCGGTCTGTCAAATACCCCTCATGAGCCAAAAGCGCTCCGACTCGATGAAGGTTTAACGTCTTCAAAGCACCTGGCACCGAGGCACCAACGGCACTTCTGGACGAAGAGGGCCCGAAGGCCTCACCAAAAACAGAAAGCTTGCCTGAGGGCCAGCTGTACCAGGTTGACAGGTAGTTGCGGTCTGTCAAATACCCCTCATGAGCCAAAAGCGCTCCGACTCACGTCACCTCCAGCTGGCGACGCCCAGGAGGCCGAAACCCAAACTGACCTCGAACAGCAGCTCGGACAAGACCAAGATGCCGAAGACGCTCACGAACATCTGCGTGCCGCTCACCACGAAGCGGCCAGCCCAACCTCCAGGCCCACGACGATGTCGGAGTTGCCGGGCGGGAGGAAGCAAAATATGAGCAGCACCACGCAGCATGCCACCAGTTGGGAACCCCTGTACGACCACACAGCGTGCACCGAAGGAGAAAAGATCCAGCACCTTGAGGAGGCAGTTTATGCATCCGTGCATACTGTTCTTCACTCACACATCCTCCGAGCATCACGTGGCGCTCCTCGTTGGAAGCGCCGTTGTAGAGCTTGATGGCCGCCTTGAGTACGGTCTCGCTGTAGCCCTCATCGTCGGGGATGAGGTCGTCGAGTTCATGCCGTTGCCCTCGCAAGAAAGAAGCATAGCGCTGGCGACGCCAGGCCTCTCGCATCAAGTGTCGCGCCTTATTTCGGGCAGGCAAGTCACCTGCCGACAGGTCAAAGGCCCCTGCCACAGCATGTTGCCAAGCGTGAGCTCCGGTCCTGGTAAACTGGAGTTCCTGAAGAAAAGAACCAACGGACTGTCCCCAGCGTCCTATGACGAGGCGACGGCCCTGTTCACGCCAGAAGGCGTCAGCCGCAAAGAAAGCTGAGGCCGACGCCAGTCTAAGTGCAAAACCAACATCCATCCAATGACCAGCAAGAAGCAACCACAAATCCCTGGACCCTTGCTGTACAACATCCAAGGCACGTTTCACGTTAGTTGTGAGCTTTTGCTGGTCCTGTAAGTCGGCGGCGGAGCAAGGACTCCACCAAAAACTCCACAGCAGCTGTGGTATGATTACAGTCCTATACAAGCGATGCTTAACGCAAGATACTACAGGAAGACACCCGAGCCGTCGAAGCAGAGCCTGAAACTTGTCGAGCCGTGGGCCCGCCACCTCAAGTAGGCCGTCCTCCCGAAAGGGAGTGCCGAGAACAGTGGCCTCAGCCGAAGGCTGTATGCCTTTTGCACGCAGCAACTGTCGTTGCCTGGCACTCCGCGTAACAACCTTCAACTTGTTTTGGTTCTCCTGAAGGCCGAGAGCCTTAGCAGCAGCAGCCCAAAACCCGATGACACGCTCAGTGTCTTCAGCTGACCTCGTCACCGCGGTCCTGTCATCGACAAAGATCGACTGGTTAAGAGCCTCGCCCATCATCTGTTGGAGCCGTGTCGCAGGCGCTAAGAGCAGAGCCGTGAGGGCCAGCGGCGAAGCAGGGCATCCCTGCGGCAACGACGACGACACCTGCTGTGGCTCAGGATGAACGAAGCTACCGTACTGGATCCATCGTCGCTGCTCTAACCAGGTCCAGGCCACAACTTTCAAAAGGTCTTCTGGGCAACCATGTCTGCGCAAGTTGTCCAACGCGAGAGAAGGGGCAACGTTGTCGAAACACTTCTCGAAATCAAACGAAATCAAGATGGCCTCCTCGTCCCACGAGGCTTCGATGTGTCTGAGTGCCTGCCAAGCATTGCGGCCTGCGATGCCTCCGTGAAAGTAGGGAGGGCACACCTGAGGCAGCCAGTCTCTCACACAAGCTCGAGCGGTCCATGTAGCAGCGACGACTCGGTACGTGGTGTTGAACACTGTGATGGGACGTAAGCGAGCAACCTCCGCAGCAGCACCGGTAACCTCGTCTTTGGGGATGAGGACCATGCGTGATTCACGCCACGCCACAGGAAATTTGTTCTGCGCTGTCCAAAGCTGGAGCAACTGAGCCAGCATGGACCACCACTGCACCGGCATATCTGCAAGGTTCTCAGCAGAAATGCCGTCAGGTCCGGCAGAGCCCTTGGAGTGGCTCCTCGCTCGCTTCATCAACTCATGCGCCTGCAGGGGCCCTTGGTCGCCGGGCCAAGCAGCTTGGGGAGGCGCATGCTCAGTCCACATCCGGTCCAGCTGTTCATGGAGATCTTCAGGGAGCGGTCGGCGCCACACTTCCTTCCAGAAGGCCACAATCAACTCGAGCGAACCAGCAGTCGAGGAAGCCGTGGTGGTGACTCCGCGCACAGTGTGCTGCAAAGCCGGTGCGAGGAGCCCAGCCTTGTTCTTGAGCCACCGCGCGGCCTCGCGCCCGCCTTGTGCCATCCTTGCCCTCCAGGAAGTGAGGTTGGCATCCCGACGCTGCTGACGGACCTTCGTGATGATCGCCTCACATTCGGGGATTGCTTCCTCAATGCTGCTGGCACGCAGGTCCGAGGGCCAAGTGGCTCGGATCTTCTCCATAACAGCAGCCGAGTCAGCAACCGGATGCTGTTGGAGCCGCTTGGCTTCATGAAGTCTGCCCAAGAAGCAAGCAAGTTTGCGAATGCGAGCTCCCTCATTCGAGCTTGAACCCTTGCAAGTACGGTCGCTAGGAGTCTCACAAAGCGTAGCAACGGAACCTTTAGGGCGGTAACCTCCACGACTGAAAGATCTACTGGCAGGGCCATCCAGCCTAGAGCTCGCAGCTTGGAGCGAAAGCTCCAGCTGTGCAGCAAGCTGCGCCCACTGGACGTCAACATCATCGTCCCAGTGCACCTCAAGATCTTTAAAGTGGGCTGCCACGGCATCCCTCCAGACCTCGAGAGGGACATGTTCAGGACGCGACAGGTCTCTAGTGCGGCTCAAAGAAAACTGTCCAACACGGTTAAAGCTGAAGCAGCCCTCGATCCACAAGCACTTATGATCGCTGATACGATGTTCCAGGAACCTGGCCGTGAAAGCGGCGTGAGGGTCGTTGGTCATGGCCCAATCGATGGCACGCGAGCCTTTCCATCGGGAGGCCAGGTAGCGGTCCTGTTGCTTAGGGCCAATGATCATGTATCCGAGTTCCTCGAGTGGCGACTCGCAGGGCTCGTCGTTCCAGTCACCCACGGCCACCAAGGAGTGTCCCGCAGCAACCGCATGGCTTGCCCACAGAGCAACCTCGTTATCAAAAGCGGCACGGAGGCCACCAGGTCGGCGCCACGCAGCCATGTATCGAAAAGAGCCAAAGTCTAACTGCAGCAATTCGCCTTCGTCATTGCACCACGTGGCCATCTGTTTGCAGCAGACGCCGTCTTTGACGCCCACACACAGTCCTCCTTTCCAGTTGGCAGGGCCTTGTCGGCGGGCCCCTTGGGTGGAGGGCACACACCACACTCTGTATCCCATCTTGTTAGCACGTCTGGTGAGAGCCGCTTGCTCAGACGGACTTGCGCGAACCTCGGCCAGGGACCACACCAAAGGTTTCACCTCAGAGCTCTGGAGTAGGTCAAGGGCCTCAAAGGCATTGGTGCATCCACCTGCGTTCAAGTGAAAGCAACTCCAAGGAGAACGTACGAGGGAGGTGGACGGTCCCGGATTGGGCTCGATCCCTTCCTCCGTGACGTCTCGCAACCATTGCTTGAGGGGAGCCGTCGTGCTGTAGCCCTTGGCCTTGGTCATCAGCACACTGTGCTCCTTGTCAGAGAGGCCCCAGATACGTTTGAGCAACCGTCGGCCCTGAGTTCCAATGCTAGCATAGAGTCTCTGCTTGCCCGTCGTGCGAAGCACCCTCGCACGAACACCAACCCCTGGGCACGGAGTACTGAGCCGCGCCAGCGACGAGCGAGTTCTGGCCACATGCAAACATTTGCTACACGTGAAGATGATCCGAGCTCGATCGTTTTCACATCGTAGCACATGCCGAATGCGGTGACCAAGCTTGTGCTTCTGCAGCGAGATTTCGCGGGCCTTCCGATGATCTTGCAACTTCTTGGACAAAATCATACCCCAACATCTGCTCTGAGCACCACGATTCGCGTGGGACTTGTTCAGCTCCTGTGCCCAGGCCTGAAGGTTGGAGCCAGCCGTGGACTCCGGCGGTGCCTTTTTGCACTGTTGAAAATGCTTCTTGATGGATGCTTCGCGCGACCGCTTCTCCATGGCTGGGAGAACTTGTCGGCACCAGAAGCATGTCCATG